CGAGGCAGGGCGCGGGCCGGTGCCAGGCCCGGTGCCAGGCCCGGAGCAGGGCGCCCCCGCCTCCGCCCCCCGGGCCGGCCAGCCGCCGAGCCTTGAACTTGAGCGCCGCGGGGCCGGGGGCCCGCCGGGCTCCCCGCCGCCCCCCAGGCCTCCCCGTCCCGGGCCGCCGGCCGGGCCCCGCGCCCCTCCATGCACCACCTGCTGGAGCAGCCCGCGGACATGGCGACTGCGCTGCTGGCGGGAGAGAAGCTGCGGGAGCTCATCCTGCCCGGGGCCCAGGACGACAAGGCGGGCGCGCTGGCCGCGCTGCTGCTGCAGCTCAAACTCGAGCTGCCATTCGACCGCGTGGTCACCATCGGCACCGTGCTCGTGCCCATCCTGCTCGTCACGCTCGTCTTCACCAAGAACTTCGCGGGTAAGACCGGGCCCGGCCCCGGGGGGGAGGGGGGTGATGGGGGCGGCCCGCGCGGCCCCCCCATTCCCCTGGCCTCCTTTATCTCGTCCCGAGCTTTGCCTTCCCCTGCTCTTTGCCTAAGATGGAGAGATGGGGGAAGAGAGAGAGAGAAGCCCAAGGGTTGGGGAAGGACGTCCGTGTGTGTGTGTGTGTGTGTGTGTGTGTGTGTGTCTGTGTGTCTGTGTGTCTGTGTGTCTGTGTGTCTGTGTCTGTGTCTGTGTCTGTGTGTCTGTATGGGGGCACGGGTGGTGTGCGGACCCTCCCAGCTTTCACTGCCCAGCCTCTGAGTAGAGGCGGAGGGGCTCTCCACAGCCCTCCACCAGCGGAGCGGAGCGGAGCTTGCCAGGGAGAAAAGGCAGCCCTGACGCTGGACAGCTCCAAGGGGGCTGAGGGCCAGAAAGCACAGTGCAGGCTGGCTGGGCCTTTGGGAGTTGGCTCAGAACCCCAGGGCCTCGGGCACTTCCCCTCGGAATGGACTAAAACCCCTTCCCTCGGGAGCTTCTGGAAGCCCTGGGTCTCAGGGAGCATCCCTAGCCCCATCGCCGGGAAACTGTTGCCTGGCAAGAGCAGCCACAGAAGGAGGCTCTCCTTCACTGGGCCCTGGGTTAGCTGGGGCCTTCCTGTGGCTTCTCCGTGCCCATGTGACCTCTTAAAATTACTTTCAGCTCTTCCTTTAAGGAAAAGCCCTGACACACGGTCACTGCCCTCTGGTAGCACAGAACCCCAGAGAGGGCTAAAGCTAGGCAGAGGTTGCTGGCAGGCATCTCTCCATTATCCAGGCTGAAGGAGGGGAGATACCAGAGAACATCTAAATCGGGTTTGGGATCCCAGACATCCACCGTGCCACCCAGCACACGTGCCAGTGTACAGAAATACCCGGGCACACACTTGCACTTACTCAGGGTAAATCACCCCGCTTTAAATAGATACATATCTTCCGTGGAGAAGGCGATTGGGGCTAGCAGGTTGATACTTCTTGGTCAATAGAGAAACTAGTCAGAGGGTAAACCCAGTGGGCAAGTCCCAACTTCCCTGGGGCACCAAACTGAGAAGAGACTGGGCTGGGGGCAGGGTTTGGGCAGCAGCTGTCAGAACTGCCCATCTAGGGCTCTGTTGTGGAAGAAAGGAGATTGGGATTTTTAGCTGGAGAAAAGGAGATGTGAGTGGGTGAGGAGGGAATGGGGGGAGGGGTGTAAATGACATGATAGCTGCCTTCGGGCATTTGAAAGGAAGAGGAATTCCCCTTGTTTTGCTTGGCTCAGGAAGGCTGGAGCAGGTGCTGGAAGCTGAATCGGGCTGGATGGAAAGAGGACTGTCTAATGATGACAGCCATCCAGCCGTGGGGCAGGCTCACTTTTCTAGATGTGAACTCCCTCACTACAAATGCTTAAGCATTAGCTGAATGACCCCCATGACAAGGATGCTTCAGAGGGCATTCCTGAGCCAAACAGGAGGCTGGGCCAGATGACCTCCAAGGCCCTTCTAAAGGTCTCCGACTCTAAAATGAGGTCCTTTGATGGTTCAGAGGGCAGTAACGGTGCCGATGAGATAATGTGTGTGAAGCTTTTTGGAGACCTTAATGTCGTATATGAGCCAGTTACTACTTTCATGATGTTCATAATTATTATTTTAATATGTGTCAGTTAGCTTTGTTTTTAAAATATCCACAGAGCTCCCAGCTGCCAAAACGATCTTACTGAGACTCCAGCCTGACCAGGTTCAGGTCTGCTCTGGGCCCGACTGCTAGAGAGTGTGTGTGTGTGTATGTGTCTGTGTGTGTCTGTGTCTGTGTGTGTTTGCATGTGCTGGTGTGTAATCTCAGCATGTAGAAGATCCAAGTAGATGGAAGGGATCCCCCTTAGAGGGGATGGTGCTTTTAGCTGGGGGGATCAGGGAAGGCCTCCAGTCGAAGGTGGCCCTGGAGCAGAGTCTGGAAAGAAGCTAGGGATTCTAAGAGGAGAGAGGGAGCATCCCAGGCACGGAACACAGCCAGTGCAAAGACACAAAGCCAAAGACGAAATGTGATGGACAGGAAACAGGAAATGGACTCATTTGGCCGGGATGTAGGGTAGTGTGTGAAGGGGAATAATGTGAAATCAACCTGGGAAGATTCATCAGAGGCTCATGAAGGGCTTTCAATGTCCCCCAGAGAAGTTTGCATTTTGTCCTAGGGAACTCAGAATAACCTTAGTAATTTTATGATAAAACATTAGCATCTCAAATGCAGCATGTCCAAAACAGAACTGATTCCCCACCCCCAAACCTGCTCTTCCAATCAATTTCCCTATTTCTTTTAAGAAAACTTCCATAGTTCCAATTGAGGAGCTTAAAATGCGAAGTCTGGGGTTTAAGGCCCTCCAGCCATCTGATCCTGATCTTATCTTATGTCACATCACTGCCCTTCCTGCTCTTCTCCAAACTCAGTTCCATCTCCTCTCTCTGCACATTTGCACAGGCTGTGCCCCATGCCAGGAGTGCACTCTTTCCCCCTCTCAGTCTCTCAGGATGCACGTCTTTCTTCAAAGGTCCCCAGCTGTCATCTAGTTTATAAAGTATTTTCTTTTGTCACTTAACGTGTCTTTTTTTTTTTTGTCTCTCCCACCTTCCTCCCCCTCCCTCATTTTAAAAATAAGCCTTCTGATGTAAAGTCTAACAAAGCAAACTCCTGAATTGGCCGTGCCCAAAAAACTGTCTCCTTTTGTGTCTTGAGTACCTCCCCTCCTGGCAGGAGGCTGGTAGCATGCTTCACCTGGGCCTCTGCACCACAGGTTTGACTTTGCAATGACTGGAGCTCCCAAAGTTGTTTCAAAGTCTTTCAGAATTGTTTTCCTTTATAATGTTGTTGTTATGGTACCAATTGCTCTCTTGGTTCTGCTCACTTCACCCTGCCTTCGTTCATTCAAGTCTTTTTGTCCCTAAAACCTTCCATTTTATCATTTCTTAAGAGGTAATTATTTTCCATTCCATTCATATACCATAGTTTGTTCAGCCATTCCCTAATAGGTTGATACGCCCTTAGTTTTTTTGTTTTTTTTTTTCCTTTGGAGCTATTACAAAAAGAGCTTCTTTAATATTTTGTACATAAGGGTCCTTTCTCTTCTTCTTTGATCTCTGTGAGGCAGAGGCCTAGTAGGAGCATCACGGTCAAAAGACAGGCACAATTTAGTGATTGGGGGGAGGCATAGGTCCAAAATGCTTTCCCGAATAGCCGGACCAATTAATTTGCAACTCCACCAACAATGCATTAGTGTGCCTGTTTTTCTGTAGCCCCTCCAACATTTGCCATTTTCTTTTTTGTCATCTTTGCCAATCTGATGGATATAAAGTAGAACTCCAAAGCTGCTTTATTTTCATTTCTCTAATTATTAGTGATTTGGAGCATTTTTATATGGTTATTTCTTGTTTGGATTTCTTCCTCTGAAGACCATTTCTTCATATCCTCTGATCATTTATCAACTAGAGAATAACTATTAGTCTTATACATTAAAATCAGTTCTTCCTACATAAACCTGCTACAAAGGTTTTCATTTTCATTTTTATAGTTACCTAATACTCTTCTCGTTTCAACTGGATTGATTTTGTTTGTGCAAAACCTTTTTAATTTCACATAATCAAATTAGTTTGTTTTGCCTTCTCGGATCTTCTCTTCTCTACTCTTTGTTTGGTCATCCATACATCTGTTAATGTTCTCCTGCTCCTCTGATTTGATCATGACGTCACCCTGTATGTCTAAGTCACTCAGCATTCGGACCTTATCTTGGCATGTGGTGTGAGATGTTGGTCGAATTTCTGCTGATCGCTTCATGAGGCATTTTCTGGTCCCCCAATTGTTGACACTCTCCTGGCTTCCTTTCCTCTCCCTCACTCTCAGCTGCTCTGAGCTTCCTGACAACCTAGGCAGGGAGCTACTCCCACCATCTGCAACCCCATTTTGCAGATGAGGAAACTGATATCTCAAGAGGGATGTGACTTGTCCCAAATCATGCATCAGTCATAGAGGTCACGGGATCCATCCTTCACACAATGGACCCAACCAGTGTTGTCTGGGTGCCACTTGAGCTCCATTGAGAGGCAGCCCATTCCCTTTTGGGACAGCTCTGGGGGGTGGGGCCTGAAGGAGGTCACCAGGGGGTCAGGAGGACACCAGAGTAAGGGAGGCAATCCTCCCAAAGCAGTCTGTTCCAGTTTGGGACAGCCCCAATTATTAAAGTCTTTCCATTAAACCTAAATCTGCATTTCGGTGCATTCTCCCCAACGCCTCTACCTCTGCTCTCTGGTGCCCAGCAGAACTTGTCTACTCCTTCTCCCAAGTGGCCAGGCTTTAATTACGGTTAGTCAGTGATTAGCCCTCACCCCCTTTCCTCATCTCCACCCCGCCTCCCACGACTTCTCTTTTCTAGGCCAAACATTCTCGGTTCCTTCAGCTGATCCTGGAACGGCTTGTTTTGAAAGTCCCCGACCCTCTCCACCCCCATTCCTTGCCAGCCATCTTCCTCTGGGCATGCCTTTTTGCTGATGCCCTTCCTAAAATGTAGAATCCAGAAACGGACGCACTGTTCCTGATGGGGTCTGGTGGGGCTGATGGGCAACGCCTCTCTTAAAGGGAGCTGGAGGCTGCATTCGCTCACTCTTCAGACCACCACTGAACCTGCAGGCCCCTAACACTGGCCCAGCCTCAGCTTCCCCTGCCCCAGAGGAGCAGAGCCCCACACCTGCATCTGAGCTTGAGGGTACCCCCCCATATTTCTTTGTCGCATCTTTGCTTTCCCACCTTCTTCAACACCGCCTCCTTTACCACAGCGGTCACTCTATGCTTTCTGTGGACTGGGAGAAATCCCAGGAGAGCTCAGCTCCCAAGCCATGACAGAGGAGAACAGGCCACAGGGAGACCACCCATTCATTTGCAGCACCTGCTTTGTTTCAGGCACTGCATCAAGCTCCGGGAATACAACAACAAGGAAACATCCCAGTCCCCGAGGAACCTATCCTTGTATCAGGGAAGACACATGTGTACAGTCAGTGAGCGCAGTCTCAGGAGGAGGGCGTGGCATGTGGTGCGGCTGCAGAGACCAAGAGAGACTTCCTGGAAGAGAAAGTTCTGGGGCTGAGCCTCAGAGGAGCTCGGGCATTCTAAAGAGGGGCAAGTGGAGGAGAGAAGGCATTCCAGGCACAAGGGAGGGAGCTGCCTATGCAAAGGCGAGGAGGCAAGAGATGGCATTTCCATTATGCCTGAGGACATAGCAAGCCTGGATTGTAGGGAGTGTGGAGAACAGTGTGCACTAAGACTGGGAAACAGGCAGAAGACAGATTGTGAAGGACTTTAAATGCTGAATCAAGGCTATAGGGAACCACGAAAGTTTATCGAGCAGGGGAGGGACGTGGCCGGACCTGGGCTTTAGGCAATACACTTTGGCAGCCAGGAGGACGGAGGCTGAATCAGAGTGGGGAGAGATGAGGCAGAGAGACCAAGCAGGAGACCACTGCATACTCCATGAGGAAGCGATGAGGGTTTGGATTAAGGCGGTGGTCATGAGGTGAATGCAGAGAAGGGGATGGATTGGAGAGATGTTGTGGAGGGCGGAAACAGAACAATGTGGCAATGATTGCACATGGAGGATGAGGGAGAATGAGCAGCAGAGGAGGACACCCAGACTGGGAGCCTGGATGACTGGGAGCCAGGAGACTGATCTCCTTGACAGTAACAGGAAGTTTGGGAAGAAGGAAGGGTTTGGGGGGACAGAAAATAGGTTCAGCTTTGGACCTGTCAGATTTGAGATGCCCATAGGATATCCAAATGGAGATGTCCAAAAGGCACGAGATTTAGGAGTCATCTCTGTAGAGATGATCATTAAACCCATGAGAGATGATGAGATCACCAATTGAGAGAATGTAGAAAAGAGGGCCCCAGCCAGAGTCCTGGGAGGCAATGAAGCCCATGGCCGTGACCCCCAGGGGAGGGACAGGCTCAGGCCCGTGGTCAAGAACTGCTTTGGCCAGTGATGGCCGATGGAACAGACAGAGGCAAACCTTTTCCTGGTTTTTTTCCCCCAGAAAGGATAATTTTCAGGCTCTTTTATGGCTCTTGGGAAATGGGATCAGTTAATAAAGAGGCATTTCCCCCCAAAGGGAGTTGGATTTGAGATACGTTCAGTTAGAGAAATCCAACAAGGATTTGGTGGTGCAGTGAGAGGAGGGATACAGGAAGTGGGGGGCAGCCTTAACCATTTTTTTATTTGGGAGGTAGGCTAGTGACCATTTGGGGCAACGCAGGAAGTGAACTCAGTCTTCAAAGACTACCGCCTGTCCTTCCTTCTCTGTCAGCCTAAGGACACTTGTAGGCTGATTCCTACGTTCAAGGAAACTAAGGATGAGGAGAATAGCTCCTGTCCAGGAGGTGGGGGGAATCCCTGCTCTCAGCTGGGCATTCAGCTCTGTGCTTGGGGCTGCAAACATTCAATCATTTCATTCTCTCAATTCTATTTCCACAATGTCTATTCCTATAGAATACGTGCCTTGAGTGTGGGGACCGTGTCTATCGTCTTTTGGCTTTGTGCCTCCACTACCTAATACGTAGTTTTGCTGTTTAGCCATTTCATTTGTATCTGACTCTGTGTGACCCAATTGGAGTTTTCTTGGCAAAGATACTGGAGTGGTTTGTCATTTCCTTCTCCAGCTCATTTTATAGACAAGGAACTGAGGCAGACAGGGTGAAGTGACTTGTCCAGGGTCACACAGCTACTAAGTGTCTGAGGCCAGCTTTGAACTCAGGAAGAGGAGTCTTCCTGACTCCAGGCCTGGCGCTCTATCCTAGCTGCCCATACATAGTAGGCCCTTAATAAGTAACTATTGCTGAACTGAATGTCATTTCCATTTCCTCCTTCATATCCACAACCCCCACCCTAATTCACACCCTCCTCATCTCTTGTCTGAACTATTGTAACACCTTCCTGATAGGCTGTCAGGCCTCCAGTCTCTTCCCCCCAAACCATCCTGGCCACAGTGTCCGTATAATCTGTCTGATAGGTACATGCCTAATCACATCAGCCACCTGCGCTCCTGGCTGCCGTATCACAATGGTGACTGGTATGGAGCTGAGAGGTCCCTAAATGCCCTCGATCTTTTTTCCAACTGGACGTTGAACAAGCTGCCCTTTCCCCATTTTGTACCTGTGGAGCTGATGTTTTTGAAACCAATTGTAGGACTTTATATTCATCCCTATTCATTTTTACCTTTAAGCCCAATTTTCTAACCTATCAAGACTTTTTTTTTATCCTGTCACCCAGTGCATGGGCTGTGCCTCTGAGATGTATGTCATCTATAGATGTAGTAAGCATACCTTCTATCCCTTTATATGAATCATTGACAAAAAAAAAATATTTAATAGCACAAATCCAAATACAGATCCCTTGGGCACCCCACTGAAGACCTCCTCATGAGTTGACATCCAACCTAGCCTATTGACCAGTAATGAATGCCCCTCATCATATTTCACTTACTCTACTTTTTTTTTCATTTTGTCCACAATGATGACATGAAAGATTGTGTCAAGTGCTTTGCTGAAATCTCAGTTAACTCTATCTGCAGCATTTCCTCAATCTAGTAGTCCAATAATCCTGCCCTCCAAAAAGGAAAAGAGGTTGGTCTTGTGTGACTTGTTCATGGTGAGTAATGCTAAACTTTGTGATCACTGCTTCCCTTTCCAGATATTCACTAACCATCCTTTTAATGCTATGCTCTAGAATTTTGCCCCAAATCAAAACCAGACTCCCCAGTTTGTCATTTACAGACTCTAACTTCTCTCCTTTTTTGGAAATCAGGACATTTGCCCTTCTCCATTTCTTCAGCTCATCTTCTACCATCTCTCCCACACAACTATCTGAGGCTCCTATGGGAAAGTGGCCTATGTCAAGGGCGGGACACAAGCTTTAGAGTCCTTGGGCATCAGACAAAATTACAGCTGTGAAGCTTAGGGTCAAAGGTTCCTAGGGCTAGACCCAAAAGACACCTTAGAGGTCATCTACCCCCCCCCCAATTTTACAGATGTGCAAACAGGCACTGAGTAACAGACTCAAGGTCACACAGGCACAGGTGTCAGAATTGGGTGTTTTTTTCCTGTCTGCTGACAGTGTGAGCTGGGACAAATCTCTCCATAGGCCTCACTTCCTTCACCTGTAAAATGACTAGGTTTTACTATATGATCTTTTTATAGCCTTGTTTTGGAAACTTCAGGAATATGAGGAATTAGTATTATTATAGGAGGACATTTGAGAGAATGGCCCTGGGTCATTTGTAGTCGAAGTCACGTACCTTCCATGGAAGAAGCTGGGGGAGAATGAGAGGGCAGGCTCCCAGACTGTACAGCCTGCCAGTCCTTGTAGTGGCTGGGCCACTCAGAGTTCCTCCTCTCCCCAGCCGAGGTCTGCCCTGGGCCAGTCTCCGAGTTCAGATAAAAACCCCTAAACCCCAGGGACAGGTGGATGGGGATAAAGGAAAATTATCGGTCCCCTCGTTGGACATGAATACTGTGTAAATGTTTCTTTCAGTGCCCACCCCAATCTCTGCCCTCCCTTTGCCAGGAGGGATGAGCACTGTGGACCCCTCCCCATCCCTGCCATGACCCTGAGCCGTGTCTCTCCTCTCTGCCCTCCAGAGGAACCCATCTACTGCTATACCCCTCACAACTTCACCCGTGACCAGGCCCTCTATGCACGTGGCTACTGTTGGACAGAGCTTAGGGATGCCCTGCCCGGGGTGGACTCCAGCCACTGGCCCTCCCTCTTCGAGCACAAGTTCCTGCCCTATGCCCTGCTGGCGTTTGCCGGCATCATGTACGTCCCGGCCCTGGGCTGGGAGTTCCTGGCCTCCACCCGCCTCACCTCCGAGCTCAACTTCCTTCTCCAGGAGATCGATAACTGCTACCATCGGGCGGCGGAGGGCCGGGCCCCCAAGATTGAGAAGCAGATCCAGTCCAAGGGCCCCGGCATCACGGAGCGGGAGAAGCGGGAGATCATTGAGAATGCCGAGAAGGAGAAGAGCCCGGAGCAGAACCTGTTCGAGAAGTACCTGGAGCGCCGGGGCCGCAGCAACTTCTTGGCCAAGCTCTACCTCGCGCGGCACGTGCTCATCCTGCTCCTGAGCGTGGTCCCCATCAGCTACCTGTGCACCTACTACGCCACGCAGAAGCAGAACGAGTTCACGTGCGCGCTGGGCGAGCCCCCCGACGGCCCCCGGGGCCCGGTGCGCGTCAGCTGCAAGCTGCCCTCGGTGCAGCTGCAGCGGATCATCGCTGGCGTGGACATCGTCCTGCTCTGCTTTATGAACCTCATCATCCTCGTCAACCTCATCCACCTCTTCATCTTCCGCAAGAGCAACTTCATCTTCGACAAGCTGCACAAGGTGGGCATCCGCACGCGCCGGCAGTGGCGCCGCTCCCAGTTCTGCGACATCAACATCCTGGCCATGTTCTGCAACGAGAACCGGGACCACATCAAGTCGCTCAACCGGCTAGACTTTATCACCAACGAGAGCGACCTCATGTACGACAACGTGGTGCGGCAGCTGCTGGCCGCCCTGGCTCAGTCCAATCACGACGCCACCCCCACGGTGCGAGACTCGGGCATTCAGACGGTGGACCCCAGCGCCAACCCCGCCGAGGGCGATGCGGGGGAGCCCCCCGTCGTCAAGCGCCCCCGCAAAAAGATGAAGTGGATCCCCACCAGCAACCCCCTGCCCCAGCCCTTCAAGGAGCAGCTGGCCATCATGAAGGTGGAGAATCACAAGGCGGACAAGCCCAAGCCCGTGAGGAGGAAGACTGCCACCGACACGCTCATTGCGCCCCTGCTGGACGCCCGGGCTGCTCACCACAAGGGGGCTGGGCCCGGAGACCCCACGACCTCCGGCCCCCCCTCCGCCCCGCCGTCCGCAAGCAGCGAGAAGAAGCACGCCAGGCATTTCTCCCTGGACGTCCATCCCTACATCCTCAGCAGCAAGAAGCCTAAACCAGATCTTCCGCGCATTGCTGCCCTACCCGCCTCCAAGAGCCAAGAGGGTGCCTTCCTCACCCAGGCGGAGGACTGCGGAGGCACCCGCAGCATGGCGCCTGCCAAAGGTAGGAGGGTGGGGCAGGGGTGGGGCGAAGAGAGGTCAACTCAGGGATGGACAGGATGGGAGCGGGAAGGCAAGGAGAACCAAGACCCGCAGGTCATTACCAAAAAAAAAAAAAAAAAAAAAAAAATTAAGGCCGTCATCCAAAAATAAGAGATAATTTCCTCCTCACCCGAGGACTAGACATGCAGAGGCCGCTGTCCTTCCGAACATAGCCATGATCCTAGAAATAGGAACAGGGGACTTTGATCTGCCAGGAAACCCCCGGCCCTAAAGGCTGTGTGTGTGCTTTACTCAGGAGAACAGGTTCGGAACCACCGAAGACTCTGGGCCAGAATCATAGGAAGGACCTAAAATCGGGTGACTGCCTTGGAATTAGGGTTGGGCTGGTTTTTGTTTAGTTTGGCTTTATTTTCAGCACGTTAGCAGGAGAGGGTGGAGCCAGACAAGAGGACCAGCCTGGGGGGGGGGGGGGTTACAGGGACCAGGCATCCTCTGAGCATGCCCAGCCCTGCCGCCGGACTGTGCCACCCAGGTGCTCACCATGGCCACGCTGAGCCTTGGAAGGGGGGGAGTTTGTGTTCAGTAGCCTGTGCACAAGAAGGCAGGGGGACAGACACATGGGAAGCAGGAGAAAGATTTCCATTCAGAGGGGTCAAGAAGCGTTTTAACAGGGTTCAGCAGTATAAAGGGAGGAGTGCCTCTGGATGGAAGGTTCATAGATGGGGGACAGAGTATTCTTTGATGATACTTGGCAAATGAAATAGAACAGTCCTTGTTCTTTTGAAGTGGCCTCATCCTTCTCGGTGAACCAGTCAAAGAGAGAATCCAGAAACCCTCAGGGACCCTCCGTCACTAATTTGGGAGTTCAAAATTCCTTCAGAGGACACTCGGTGGCAGTGTCTCAGGGGGTGCCAAGGAAGCTGGTTTAACCTGAAGATAATGGAAGAAGCAGGATGTAGGGAGGGAGCATCTCCAGCGTCTGACCAGAAGGAAGAGGTGCCTAGGTGTCTCACTTCTGTAGAATCCAAATCTCAGAGACTTTCCTTTCCTGGGCAGCTGTTCTCGGCATTAGAGCTCTTGCAGGACTCAGCTCATAACACAGCAAACAATCCTGACTCTGCAGCAGGACACAGTATGGGCCAGCTACAAGGCGGTTCCCTGAAACGGCCTCATTAGTAAACCAGTCAGTCAACACGCACCTACTACGTGCAAGCCTATTGGAGAACTGAAACCTTATCCACCACCAAGCATGGTTTCGGCTGAGTGGGTGCTTCTGTTAGTGGTGGGTAACAGCTGTGAGTGCACAAGGCACAAGACGTGCCTCCCTCCTAGGGGAAGACATGGAAGGGCTAGAGGAAGGCACCTTTCCTTAAAGTAATGGAAGAAAAGTTCCAAAGGAAAAAGAAAAAGAAAGATAGCCTCCTGGGTCCCTTTGAGCTCTGCTAGGATCCTTTCATTCTTGGGGAATCCTTACCTGTATCAGGAGGGTAGGGAAGGAAGGGAAGGACCGTGGAATACGTTTGGAACAATGTAGTAGATATGAGTGTCATCCCAAAGAGGGTGAACTGTGATCCCAGAAGAAGAAGCTTCGGTGGCCAAGGAATCTGAGTCCCTCAGGGCACCAGAAAGATGTCTATCACCCAGCACCGGTCAGAGCAAGAGGAGACAAATGTTGGTGCTTGGTGGTGGTTGCTGAGTCTTTGTTAATGGAACCGTTAAGAGGCATTCTCCCTTCCCAGGGCATGTACCCTGGATGTGACCCCTTCCTAACCCTTGCCAAGCCGGGGAAACACTGTGCGCTCTTGGTGATTTGTGTGGGGACAAATAATACCCCAGAATGCACCTGTGAAGCATATCTGGGGAAGATGAAATCCTGAGTGAGAAACCGAAGACCTTAGGGGACAAGTAAGGTTTTTCTTACTGCTTCTGGTTGAAGGTGGAAGCTTAATGAGAGAATGTGATCCACTGTCAGAGAGCGAGAGTTGGATTTATGGAACATATTGGACTGATGGGCTCTTTGCCAGGGGTAAAGTTTATCTCATGAGCACCATTAAAATCAATTTCTTTAGAGTTGCTTACTGTGGTTTGTCCTTCATTCTTTTTTTTTTCTTTTTTTGGCTAGGCAATGGGATTAAGTGACTTGCCCAGGGGCACACAGCTAGTAAGTGTCAAATGTTTGGTCTGAGGCTGGATTTGAACTCGGGTCCTCCTGACTCCAGGGCCGGTGCTCTATCCACTGTGTCACCTAGCTGCCCTATGTCCTTCATTCTTAAAGAGGACCATGATATCGGGGAGGTGATGCTGTGACATGCAGGTAAATTAGATTTAAGTGAGGGAGGGCTGTGCAAAGTCACCAGCCTCACTTTCTTCTCCAGAGCTATCTGGGTCCAGTAGCCAGATATGGATCAGGACAACTGGAGATGGCCCAGGATGTGGTGGGGGACCTTGACCTTTTCCAGATAAGGTCTTTAACAGGACTCAGTTTGACTGAGGCAGCACTCCTTCATAGATTAAGGCTTAATAAAAAATAAGGTAAAGAATGGCCTCTTTTTAAAAAAAAAAAAGAGATCTGGGAGGGGAAGACCCTCAAGGTTTCTGGCAAAAAAAAAAAATTGTTATTTACATTCATTCTGAGCCAGTCAGGCCAAAATACTGACCAAGTAGGGCTTAGTCTTTGACCAAAGTGATTTGGGGTTAAGGCTGGTCTTTAAGAGAAAAAAATGAAAACAAGGAAAAGAAGAGGAAGGAAGGAAGGAAGGAAGGGAGGGAGGGAGGGAGGGAGGGTTGCCCAACTGGAAGGAGGCAGTTTCTTCTCTACTCACAGAGGCTGCTGTTTGTTCTTGAAGAGAACCATGACATCAGGGAGGTGATTCTGTGACAGGTAATTGACTTGATTTGAGGGAGGCAGAGCTGTGCAAAGTCTCCAGCCTCGCCTTCTCCTCCAGAATCATCTGGGTCCAGTGGCCAGATATGGATCAGGACAACTGGAGATGGCCCAGGATGCAGTGGGGGACCTTAGCCTTTTCAAGCTAATTTCTTTAGAGACTTGCAGATTAAATCCAAAGGGTTTTAAACTGAAAATGGAAGGGGAAAAAACCTTCCCATATAGATCTGCCAAGCTGGAGACCAAGAGACTGAAGGCAACTGTTAGTGGAGAGAACAGTAACTCATAGGGGTTACTCAAGGAAAAGAAATCCAGCCAACAGTGCGGGAAAAGAAAGAGCAAATCGACTGAAAAAGGAGGCAAAGTCAGCATCCGGAGAAGTTCTGAGATGTGGGAGATCAGTCACGGCAGAAATGCAGGAATAATGGAAAGGTATTCAGACGTCAGAAGAAAATGAACCAATGAAAGGATATGTGGAATAGGACTCGTGTGAGAAATATATTCATGTAAGGAGAGTTATGAAGTGGAGGAAGGTGGAGAAATGTCTCGTGAGAGAGGCGATCTGAAGTGATGTGGCTGGAATCCATCACAGATCACCTGGCCACAATGAAGAGCTGAAAGATAAGTCCTAGAAAATGATCCAGAAGCCAGCGTCCCCACTTGATAGAGAAGGGATGGAAGACCTTAGCTCTTCTTAGATCTCTGTGGTGTTCTGGTGCTCACTCTGCCAAAAGTCACGCCGCTCACTTCTCAACTTGGCTTTAACAGTCAAGGAATCCGGTGGAGGAAGTGAGTGAGGGGGACTACCGGTCTGGAGCTGATTCTGACTGGCAAAGATGATGCAGCTGGTGCTGAAATAGAAATGGCGGGAACCTTGGAAGGGAGCCCTGCACGTTCAAGTTTGTGATAGATGAGTCGGGGGAAGAAAGCTGCATCTGAGAGTTTGAGAAAGCGGATTTCAAAGGCTCTGTAGGAAGGATAGCCCGTAACTCATGGTCTAAAACTCTCCAGGGAAGTTGACCTGAGAAGAATGTGATGTTCTTCCAAAGCATGACATTCTAACAACACAAATACAAAGGACTCCAATCAGGAATAAAGGGGGAGGTTCCCTGAATTGACTAATGTTGGACATAGGAACTCATTGGCCAACTTAGATTTGAAAAAGGCAACGTACAGAAAATGGAAGAAGGACACGATTGAAGACAAATATGAAAAAGCAGCAGCAGAGGGCTAAAGGCCAGAAGGAACCGAGGCCAGCAGAGAAAGCTTGGACAACAAAGAGGGCCTTCCCGTGTTAGGGATGAAAAGAAGATTGAAAAAGGGATAGCACTGCTCAAGGTAGATAGGATAATGACTAAAGGAGACAACGGAGGAAAGGAAGAACTACTTAATTCTTTACTTATGTTTTCTCTGTAAAAAAAGAATGATTTTCTGATTGGGAACAGAAAAGCAAAACTGACCAACAATCAATTAAAATCTGAGAAAAATGTGGAAATGGCAAGAGAGGAAAAACAAGGTGCCTTCAGAGAAGTCAAGTTACCAGGCCCAGATAAGCTACACACTAGGTGATATAATAAGTGATAGATGTAATTGCTAAGCAGCTCTTGGCGATTTGTGGGAAGGTATGGAGAATGGAAAAGGTACCAAGGTCCTGGAGAAGGGTAAATGTTGCCCTAGTGTTCATACAGGGGGAAAAGATGGTTTCTTCAGATGATAAGCTAATGAACCTGACTTGGGTTCCTATCAGAAGTCTAGAAGATACAGTTAAAGGAGTGGCAGACCAGGTTGGAAAGGGAAACAGCAATCGCTGAGAGTCCGTCTTGCTTCATCCAGAATAGGTCATGCCAGACTAACCTCATTTCCTGTTTTGACAGGGTTAATGGATTGGTCAATTAGAGATATGCCCTAGATAAACTTTAACTCGATTTCAGCAAAGCATTTAACCAAGACTGTCATGCCCTCCTTGGACAAGAAATGTTGAGTTAAATGGTAGTGCAGTTAGATAGATTCAGAAGTCAGTGGATGCCTGAACCCAAAGAGTAGTCATGAATGCATTATGTTGGATGGGGACCTCAAGACAAGTCTCCCAGTGGGCTCTGTACTTGGTCCTATCCAATCTAAAATGCTTACCCATGACTTTAATATAGGCATAGACTATATGCATGCCAAATCTGGGAGGAAGAGATAATATGCCTGATGATGACAGGGTCAGAATTGAACATTTTTTGATATGCTAGAATGATAGACTAAATCCAATAAAATGAAATTTAATAGGGAGAAGGTAGAAAGTTGAACACACATGCTCAATATCCCACCTGCACACATACAGGACTGGTGACATATAGCTATGCAACATTTCTTATGAAAAAGTTCTAGGAGTTTCAATGGACTGCAGGCTCACTGTGAATCAGCAGGGTGATATAGTGCCCTCTATGGCTCCAAAATAATGTGGTCTTCAGCTGCCCAAAGGAGGTGCTCAGGAATAAGGGGGGCACAGTCCTGGTCTGACCACATCTAGAATGTTGTGGGTCCAGAGCTCAGGACTCTGTGAGAGTGCTGGCAAACTGGGAGGCCGTGGTATCAAACCCAAATGGAAATAGGCACATATTGACCTAGACAGCCTCAAATTAGCATTGTCTGTGTTGTATTGCATTTTTGTTTATTTTGTTAAACATTTCTTAATGACATTTTAATGTGGCTTAGGCCTACTAGGGGGTTTGGGGGGCCACACCAGGGCTCGGGCCAAGAGCCCCTGGACAGCCCTGCTGTAGATTATCCAGAGAAGGGCAGCTGGGATGGGGAGAAAGCCAGGGACCAAGCAGACTGAATGAAGATTTCTTGAAAGCACTGGGGATGTTTCGCTTAAAGAGAAGACTCAGGATTTGGGGCCCTCTTCAAGCATAACAGTCCTGATGTTTACAGGGCTTTCTAAGGCTTACGAAGCCCTTACAGACATCATTTCGTTTGAGCCTCACAATAACTTTGTTAGGTAAGTACTCTGGCTATTATTATCCCCATTATATAGATGATGATCCTGAGGCCCAGATAAGGGGAGGGACTTGCCCAGAGTTAGAACACCAGTAAGTATCTGAAGTGGAACTCCAGCCCACATCTCTCCGGGCTCCGCACCCGGCTGTGCCTTCCCCTTGGAAAAGACCCTGGTGTTGGGGAAAGATTGAAGGCAAGAGGAGAAGGGAACAGCAGAGAATGAGATGGAGAGAGGGGTGTGGAAGCAATGAGCATGGGCTTGGACAGACTTTGGGGGATAGTGGAGGACAGAAGGGCCAGGTGTGCTGTGGTACATGGGGTCACAAAGCGTCTGGCACAACTGATCAGCAATACCTCCCCCTCCCACCCAAGTTTGTCTTTAAAAGTTTAGTGGAGAGAACATTCCACCAAGCTTGTCCTGGGCACCCCAATTGCCAGTTACTGCTCTGACATAGTCTTGCCCTAGGAGAGTCCTCAGTTTGAGGGAGAGCCATGAGACTTGCCCTCAGAGAGCCCCAGGCCGGAGGAAGGAGGCACCCTGTCTAGTCAGTGGTCAGCCCAGCCCTATAGTCCAGGGCAGCTCTCACACTCAGTAACCTGACATGCTCCACGGACCATCTCAGCTATTTTCTTCTGCCACCTAAATGGATCCAGACTGGTGAGGCCTTTGTCAGGCATCCCTGCTGTCCTAGGAGCGTGGAACTCAAGGCTCACTTCCCTTGGACCACTGCCTTCAGGCACTGACGTAAAGGCAACATGCCTGTACGTGAGTGTTCAGTTATCTTGAGCACCAGGCCCTGCAAGAACGTTTCCTTTGGATCCTGGGTCACGTATTAGCTCCATCACAGACCCCATTCTTCAGTAGTTCTCCAGCAAAGCTGGAAGGGGCCAGTAAGCACCAGCACCACTAGAAGGTCCCCAGTGCTGGGTTGTATAACATCAGCCCCACCACTTTCTAGGAGGGCCCAGTCTCTCCCATAGGTATGTCCGCCATGTTTGTTTATAGCCTGCTTGGTGGCTGCCCAGTATGGAGGGAAGAGGGTTGGATCCAAAAGTCAAAAGAGCTGGCCACTCACTTGTGTGACCTTGGGCAAATCACTGAACCTCTTTGGGCCTCAGTTTCCTCATTTGTAAAGTTAGGAGGTTGAAATAGATGCTCTCTCTAAGGTCCCTTCTAGGTGGTAGTGTTTTGGGCCTTCCCCA